GACTAATGGTACACTGCTCGTTTCTGAGACTGATGTATACTGCTCGTAGCTGAGACTGATGTATACTGCTCGTTGCTAACACTGCTGGTATACTGCTCGTAGCTGAGACTGATGTATACTGCTCGTTGCTGAGACTGCTGGTATACTGCTCGTTGCTGAGACTGATGTATACTGCTCGTTGCTGAGACTGATGTATACTGCTCGTTGCTGAGACTGATGTATACTGCTCGTTGCTGAGACTGATGTATACTGCTCGTAGCTGAGACTGATGTATACTGCTCGTAGCTGAGACTGATGTATACTGCTCGTTGCTAACACTGCTGGTATACTGCTCGTAGCTGAGACTGATGTATACTGCTCGTTGCTAACACTGCTGGTATACTGCTCATGCTGAGACTGATGGATCTTGCTAAAGGACAAGTAAACTGATTTGATTTGATTTTTGTTGTAAATATAAATTTTGGTGTTAAATTAAGTCAAATTCAAGAGAGGGAGAAAAATTCATCATATTCCAATTGAAAGTGCTCAAATCACATATTCGAAAATCAAATTCCAAAAGAAGTTTACTTAGGGGTGTTCCCTAAAGCTATGAGCACAGGGGTACATGACAAATGTTTTCATTGGCTGATATGCAGACTTACTTGCCACGTTTATTTATCTTGTAAATCTTAGCTGCTATAAATATACTGTTTCTGTTATTTCTGTTAATACTAAAAAACATTGCATACATTGTTGAGCATGTGAAACAACCTTTGATCATGACACTATTAATCAGTCACAAGTTCTAACTAGGATCCTGTTTGGGAACCAACAATCACTTTCTGTCCTCGGTCCCATTCCACAAGAAGAGTATCTTTCAGGGAATATACCCCTGAGTAGACAACTGAAGGCATCCGCAGTGTTGTTACTAATAAGGCATATGTTAACATAACTTGTGGACACAGTTTGCAAACTGATCAGACAGAAAAGGCCGTAATGTGTTTCAATAAACAAATCTGCGGCTAGCAGTACTGGGGGCCAGCCTGATCACTGAAATTGTGCCACGCGTCAAACACTGTGAACCCATTTTAACGCCCAGTGAGGTTTTTCGTTTTGGGGGATATTTTGGCTGTCGTTTTAAACGTCTGTTTTACAGTATTCCCATTTGTGAAATTCATGCAGATTGCTCTCTAGTCACGTTTCACATGGTAGCTTTTGACCGGAGGGATCTCAACTGTTGATCAACACAATGGGCATAGACTGACATACGGGTTGAAAAGACCTTGTAACTGAAAATAGCAGCACATGAAATGAGCATTTGATGGCTACCTGTAACTTTCACTTGAGGTATGGCCAGTTGCCTTGGTCTGGTCAGGAATCACCACCAAGAAGCCAAGTGTTATCTCTTGAACAGAGGATATACTGGTAGATTTAATGGCTGGTTGATATTTTAGTGTTGCAATATTGCAGTACATATTTTATTATTAGCAGTATTCGAGGACAAGTTATGTCCCTTATTAACGGAAGTGAAATAGAGAGCTATGTTATGAGATGAAGAATGCGATGGTCGACATGTGTCAGAACTTAGTGATTGTGGTTGGGATACATTTTGAACTTGTCAAGTGAAACAGTATGTTTGTGACACTGTGTGATGTACTCATGAATCCATACAATGTTTTTACGTGGCAAACGACAACAGGTCTCAGTAATAAATCCATAAAACTGTATGAAGTGTGTTGCGTCCATGGTTAAATCACAAAGATTATGGAACATTCGTAGATACGTGAAATAGGCTAAGATCTTTAAATCAAGAACCGTAACAGTAAAAACATTATCGGGTGTGAGTAATTACATCAAACACTTTGTAGTGAACTATTTTCTGTAAACGCGAAAGCTTATTTCTTCACCTGTGTTATGAAGAGTAGTTGTGTAATGAATTACCATAATCTATGGGGGAGTACATGCGGGATATTATTCAGGTTGTAAACATGATAGTTTCCGGACTGAAGTGACTCATCTGCTGTATGTAACATATTCAACTTCATTTCATTTCTGACTGTCATGTGGTACTCCAGAACATGATAACAGCACTATTGCATATGTATGACTGGGTTTGATAACAGTGCATGACTATCAAAATGAGTGATAGGATATCAGTGATAATGAGTCTGAAATCCATCCCTAGTCGTAAATCCCAGGCTGGTGCGGCGGCTGAGGTGGCAGCGTTACAGTTGAAGTTACAGTTTGTTGGTATCGAGGAAGATCAGAATTAGAAAGAGTTAAAACTATGAAAAATCTAGCAATGACAGAAGCTAGATTGCATGTCTTTACTCAGGGTGATCTAGAAGATACAGCTATGTATGGCAGGGATAATACAGAACATATTTCACCAGTTGATCAACACGTATCGAAGGCCCAGGATGTGATGGATGATTATGTTCGCAACAATGTTGAGCATATTCCCACACAACTGAATCACACACAAGTTGTTAACTCTTCACCTCAGTAGAACACTTCTATAGTTCAGACATCAGGTAGAAATCTTGATACTGAAAACTCAAGACCTATCCCAGGTCTACTTGCAGAATAACATAAGCAGATTACCCCCACCTGAACCGGTATCTTCACGGGTGACCCCCTTATGTTCCTAAGTGGAAAAGGAGCATTTGTGACACTTATAGAAGGTCGAGCCATTCCCTTCATGTGAGTGCATCGACTATTAGAAGCGATACTTAGGTGGCGCTGACAAAGAGGCAGTAGAGGGTTACATTCTCTTATTTAGAGATGAAGCATATGGTAAGGCCAGAGTGCTTCTTGACACGTTCGGTAATGCCTTTCCGAGACAAGTTAGATGCGTGGCCCAAAACAGTGGGACAGGATGGCACCTACAGATGGGGTCGGGTTGTATGCGCCTGGCGGGAGCAACCACATTCATGTCCTCCATTCTGTGAGGTTATGACCTTCGGGGCTCAGGAAGCCAAGATTGCTTGTGAACCTGTAACCTCTTCCTTCACTAGAAAGCCAAAGAAGAAATCTGGCTTTGAACTTATGAAACTTCACAGAGAGTGCACCAACAGCATGTTTTCCACAGCGGTCAGACCTCCACACGGGAAAGACAATGTATTGAAGTGTCCCCTTTGTGACAAGGAGCATGACATTGAAACCTGTAAGTTGTTCCTGGACAAGCCATTACAGGAACAGAAAGAGTTCATAAGGCAGAAGTGCTTGTGTTTTGGATGCCTCCAAGATGGACAAAGATCATGTGACTGTCAGCAACGCACAAAGTGTCCACATATTCCAGGTTACATGCTACTTCTCTGTATGGTGATAACGCGTCAGCTGGATGTGCATTGCACACACACGTGACGTTGCTAATACACGCATATGGTTCTCGGTAGGAAGTGACAACATTGAGTTAATGGCTTGCGACATATACAGAGTCTAAGGGAGGTGTGAGTGTTGTATGAATTGTTTGGTATATTTATTAAAAAAAATTATATTTTTGTTTTGTTTTGATTATTTGGGAGTTATATTCGGTTAATTAGATTTGTTTGGATTAGGTATTTGCCTAGGGCTTTTAAGTTGGATGTGTTATTTAGTGGGTTTAAGAGTGATCTCTGAGTTTAAGTTTAGTATGTTTTGGAGTGTTGTACTGTGTGTCTTGTAGTGTGGGCAGTGGATGAGTGCATGTTCTGCGGTTTCTTTTGTAATCACTTTGATGTTGTTGTTGTTGTTGTTACATTAAGTGTTTATGAGGTCGCCTACTGCCTAAGCAATTTCGACTGACCTGTCCCTCTTTGGGACTCCTGTGTGTGAGTAGGGTACACATATCTATTGTGAGTTTGGTATTCACATATTTTCTGTTTTTGTATTGATATGATTTCTATTTTCTTATATTGATATGATTTCATTTTTATCCTTGGCTGCTCTGTTAATATACGTTCGAGTAGCTGTCCATCTCTCAGAAATAGAGTTAGTTTGGCCTTCGCTATTGCATCTCTTGGCTTTAGGAGATCTCACTTTGATTCTCATCTCAAGGCTTATATAGCCAAGGTCACCTGACATGGATTAAGTCATAAATATAAACAACAGTAATTAATCAGTGACATACTTGCACATTTGTTCAGGATGGCAGACAGTCAAAATAAAGTAGAATGGAGATTTACAATTGGTATTAGCATCTTATGGATAAAGGCAATTTAGTGATTCAAGGCATCTACATGTCATGGCTACAGGGTATAATTCGCCTTTGGAATTAAATGTTCATTCAGACAATGGTGGTCCCAAATTGGTTGCTGTGACAGTGATGTGAAAGAGGAGAAGCCAGTTAATCAAACAAATTCTGTGAAAGTAATTAGTGCTCATTCAAGCGTCTCTGACAGTGTGACAAGTGTTCAAAGGACAGGGCCAGTCTGGGCACTCAATGTGATCAGCCTGAACATGAAAGACTTGTTTATACTCTATTAGACACTCAATCAGACAAATTAAATTTGAAATGTTTTAGAAATTGCAGCCCATCTGACGTTCTTTATTGTGAACGTTGTCCTTTAGCAGTTTAACGTCCTTTCTGTGCACTGACGGGGCAGTCAGTAGCCTAGTGGTTTAAGCGTTCGCTCGTCACGCCTAAGACCCGGGTTCGATTCCAGACATGGGTAAAATGTGTGAAGCCCATTTCTGGTGTCCCCTGCAGTGATATTGCTGGAATATTGCTAAAAGCGGCGTAAAACCATACTCACTCACTTACTCACTGTGCACTGACATTCTTTAGTACATTCTATCTTTACATACAACGTCTTTTGTTTGCGAGTTGTTTATCTATATCATTTTGCATTTTGAGTTCATTATTCGTATGAAAATAATTAGCTTTATTTGTAACATTCATTCTTTATTTGTAACATTTTACTGTTGTGGCATACGTTTGTCCTTTATTTCAACTTTGTACTTTTTGACCGGATGGCCACACATACAAGACAACCAGGAATTTGACACATCCAAGTTTGACTGTAATTATCAAAACATACCTTATGCGCCATACACTCCAGCAAAGTGGTCTCGTTATCAATCGCTATACAAGAAGAATTGTTTCCTAAACTGTTGGACTCTTTGTCAGGAGTGGGCGTGGTCCTTGGATCAGGATGTCTATGAGCATGGCTCCTCTCCTCTGCTATAAATGTGTCCAGCTGGTCGTAGGAAAGTGTTCCATTCTTATCTATGCCACGAAACACACTTTGTAGAAACAATGTACTCAGTTGGGCCGTCGTGTGACTTTGGTTGTAACATGCGTCCATACATAGATTCAGTAACAAGACAAGCACCACGGCGTTATTCAAGACTCTTCCTCTCATGGCGATAACAGGTTAAGTCAGATTAAATACAGGAAGGCAGCTAAAAAGTGGAGCCTAGTTCAAGTCGAACCTCAACACCGAGTTACGTTAGACGAAGTTATAAAGACAACCTTCTGTAGCTAAGGCAGCTAACTCTTCTCCACGTTGCAATCGTAGCCTGTTCCGGCCAAAACGGCACAGTACCAAAGCAGGCTAGGCAAAATATGGCCAAAACGCCCTGGTAGATGAACCGCCAAAACGAGAAAGGCGTTAACAAAACGGGCTTACATTATGATTAAAAAGAGTAAAAAAAGCATTGGTCTGGGCGTGGTACTGAGTCTGATATAGTCTGATATATTAGTCACATGAAAGCGCAGATAAACATAGTAGGTTCTGAATTGAATCAACATTGTTAGGATCGAGTGCCAATGACCAAAGCTTCATGTTTCATCAACAAAAAATCATCTACTGAAACCTATCATCACTTAGGGATATGCGTTTATATATTTGCTATCTAATTAAGAGCCATTTTAGATCAGAGACCATTATTGTGAAACTAAATATAATTTCTCCAATGCGAAATACAGCCAGGTGCTGGTACCTTGATCTGGCACCGGTGCCGAAACGTCGTTACGAAAGAAAAAAGAAGCTGAGATCCACAAGACAACTCTGTCTTTATATTCTGTCTGTTCTTGAACATATGATTTTTTTTAATTTGAAGTTTACACGATATATGGCTTTTAAATTGGACGAGAGGTCAGTCACCTGACCGCGAAATTGACGTTCGTACGTTTTTCACGAGACCGTGTTCTTGAAATGACGTAAACACTGACAGACTACTGCCACATCCATGGGGAAACCCCTGGGAATTCCCGATCACGAATACGCACAGAAGCGTTCTTTCTGATCATTTAGACTATTTAATCTTGAACTCAGCGTTTTAGTATACATTGAGAAACGTCAGAGTTTGACTGCACGATCGTTCACGAATATCCTCTCTACGACCCGTCCTAGTGAACAAAACGAAGAAATGCACATCCAAACTAAGGTAGCATCACCTCGATCCGTGTCTAGGCTGGCAGTGACTGTCTACAGCAAATCTGTGACTTTACCTTTGTGTCTATTTGACACATCTTTAATCACCTTTCAATGATCGGCCAATTGATCAATGATGACTAAAATACGTAACCGCCATGGGTTCATTAGCAGCTCCCGAAATCTCTCCCGTCAGGTTTATCGTGTCGGCCATTTTGACGTCTTGTACTTAAAGAAAATGGATGTAAATGTATTACGACGCGCTGTCATTGTGACTGACTTACTGAGGTAGTTCTTAACAGACCTTTCTCATCTAATGGTGATATTATTTGAATACATGTGTTACGTAAGATGTTTCTGAAGAGCATGAAGTTGTGCATCCATACGCTCATGTCACCTCTCTTTCAATTCCGCGATATAGCTGGCTGTCAGTGTAAACACGAAGTCACACGTCCTAAATAAAATTGTGTATAGATCTTGGTCTACATCCTTTGGGGTGAGAAATTGTGATATAAAAATTATAAGAATTGACTTTCACTTTGTTTGAGTTCATTTGAGTATGAACCTTCATGGAGTGAGGGCCATATTGTTAGGTCCTCACTCTGCGAGGGTTCATACTCCAATGAACTCACACAAAGTGAAAGTCAATTCTTAAGTAAACATACATTCTCTCATAGTGTGGGGCGATCACCATGATGTGAAATGGGGTTTAATGTTGCGTTCATGATTATTTTACAAATGAATAATAGTATAAAGACGTACACGCCAGGGTTACCTGCTCTTGGTCCGTTTTGATACTATGGCGGTTTGGCCAAATTGCATGCTCCGTTTTGGGACTTCTGTCAGCTACTTTCCAGGGTTAATGTCATCGAGTGACGCCTTCTCGTTACATCGAATTCCTGATGCATCGCTGTTAGGAGTTTGCCATTCAACCGGCTGTTTACAATCGGTAACAAGCTAAATCGACACTGCGACAAAAAGGCAAAATAATTTCTGGCGAAAACGGCAACGTAGTCGAAATAGCACTATCCTGAACCGCAAATGAAACGTCACTTCATGAAAAATAGTTATACGAGTTTCCCATTGAAATATAAATGCATTGTCTGGAGGTATCTCGTTTTTGACATTAGTCTGTATCCATATTTAATGTTAACGGCCAAAAAGTGACACGATTAATGATATAATGGGTCGCCAAAACGCAGCTTAACAAACGCCCATGGTACAAAGTCCCGAATGCTTTCCGTGAAAATCAATACAGTTTTTCACTTGCGTTTCCTTGTACCTTTTCTGACAATCGGCATCCCAAAAACGTAAATACAACATAAGAAATCTTGTACTGACAGGCCAGAGAAACCATGCAGGCTTTATGGCGACTGTTTGCTGGTCAGACTGCACGGATGATTGCCAATGCTTTTAATGTCTCGTGAGAACCATCTAAAGGTTACAGCAACGACACCAGTCAAACTTTTATCTTCGAGTGTTGATATAGTTTATGTCAAAAGACACGAGGGGCGGGATTCTATTTATCATCCAGCATTATTCTTCCAACCTCCTCAGCTTGTAAAACAGTAGAGTTAATATGGTTAACCAGCGTCAGTGGCAGAGAGATTTAGGTATGTCATTGGATTGTTGTGGTAAGGTGAGGTGAAATGAGGTTTGACGTTGCTTTCAAGATTATTGCACACATAGAGAGACGTGTGTGTGTGTATGTATGTGTGTGTGTGTGTGTGTGTGCGTGCGTGCGTGCGTGCTTGCGTCTATCTGTACTTGCCCGGACTCATGGTAGCCCACTGAGATACCACAGCGCATTTTGTGTCTAGGAACTAAATCTGGGAACGACACGTCTCCCCCATCCCCCACCTCACTCCTCTTGAAATTCATTGTAGGTAAAAAAAATTAAAGGCACTTTATGGGTTTTTTTAGCGTTTAATGGGAATATAGAAGTATGGGGATAACTTAAAACATGTTACAGTTCTATCCTTGTTATACTTTCATTGTCAGCTTCAGTTCTTGTATGACAGAGATGCTCTTAATTATACAGCAACAATGTAAATCTTTGGATGTAACTTCGGGAGGAAATAAAGAAATTCATTCATTCATTTATGAACACAACACTTTAATAACTCGGAGGGATACGAACCTACAACCTCTTGATGTGCAGCACTTCGGCTGTGCTGCGGAGACTGCTGCCGTCGCAAATGTCAATGTTCCTATAAAGTAACTATTAACTTAGCTTTGTTTATTTGTATATGTTTATGGCAATATTGTACAACGTCCGTTGTAACTCCTGGCGGTATATGTGTTATGCAAGTGCCTGTGACAATTTGCACATCTATTTTCAGTATATTAATCTGCGGAATATTTTAAGCGAGTTTCGATGACGGGTATGCTATATTTAGGTGATGTTTAGCTTGTGAGACGATCCCTCATTTCTATTGTTTAGACCCTAAACGTGTTCAGATAGAACACACCGAATGTGCATTCCGTTTAAGATTTAAACACATTCCTAAACATGTTTGCATCTAAACATGTCTTGTATGTGTTTGCATTCTAAACACATGGCCTGTGGTGCAATGTCATTGCAGCGATATCGCCCAGAGAGCCAGTTTGGGGTGATACATCAAATCGTCTACGAGCCTGCCGCCACGCTGACCTGAATAAATGAAAAGATTTTTTTACAAAAGAATTTTTAATTGTAACATCATAAACACTATACAAATTAATACTAGATGATAAACATAATGACTTAAAGAAAAATGTGCCGTGAATGTTATTATGTAATGTGTGGTAGTCCTTATAATGAGACACTGTCATCTACTGTGTATACGGTTTTATAATGTCTGAAGTGTATAATGTGTGATAGTAAGTTTATGCAATGCGTTTCAATACTGTCTAACATCCGTAAATAATAGATCACTTTATAGAGAAATTCAACATGTGTTTGATTTAATAACAATCTCTAACTCGTTTTTCACATCAAATATTGTTTTAACGTTTTTACTTTGTTAAGATTTATAGGACGTAATTAGTTGCATATATATTTCTTTTTTCTATTTCTAATAAGCATAAAGTACAACACTTTATATGTTTGTTATCTATATATATTCGGTGATTAATTCAAATGATGTTTTCTTTCAATAAAGTATGATATTATCATAGGAAAATATGAGCGTTGCAGAACCCAGCTGCATACACCTACGTGACAACTAAATACAATGCTTATACGGGACGAACACTGAGCATACTAGATGGTGACCACCATACGTTTCACTCAGCTCAGTACTGTACGCTCAGGCGACTTGGTGAAGTTTTGAAGTTTTAGGCGGACTGTTCAAGTACTTAATCGCCTCAGCTTTGAGCAGCACCTGAGAGAGAGAGAGAGAGAGAGGGGGGGGGGGGGGGGGGGGGGGGGGGAGAGAAACACACGTGCACATGAACTCGGGCACACTTTAAATACCGTGCAGCAATGTGATTGCCTTGACATATTCGTTGAAATCAAGCTCCAGTTCTTGTCTAAAAAGATATACATATATATATACATGTTGATCAGTTTATATTGCAAATATTTAACAAATTTTACCATGCTTATTGACATGTAGATATTAATGTAAGGACAATTGCTAGGGGAAGACACGCCCTCCTGTAAGGAAAGAACTTTTTGGTTCCTTGTAAACAATACTCCTATGAAATAACTTAGGCATGTTTAAGTTGGCAACGTGTACTAAACACTTCAAATGTAGGACGTTTTCTTGCAAGGTATCCAACACACATCACTCAAAAAAATAAGATGCATGCTATAGGTTATGCTGTATCAGAGACCATATAATAGACCCTCTATTATATGGTCTCTGGCTGTATGTAATGTTCGATGTGAACTCTGTTATTACCGATGGCGTTATCAGTGTATATACGACCATAAAGTTGTCATTTGTTGAAAATTCAAAATGTAATCAGCATATTAACTCATGATGTCACAGAGAGGGTCATACGTATGGGTAATTATGTATAACTATACACAACAACAAAAGTTCCTGTGACACCAATATTTTTGTGCATTTTTCAAACAAGAAAAGTTTGGTTTTCAATATTGTAGTACATTATGGAATCAAGTCACAAAAACGCAACTGCTACAGAAAAGCATGCA